CACAAGATCCAGTCCGAATCATAGACTTTTTACAGTTACTCTCTCAGAAGAACCAAGATGGGCATACTACAACATCCATGGAAAACCGCCCTAGCACTGGGCCTACGGCATCGTATGGAAAGCCGTTGACAGACAGACTGGGGAGATTGTGGCAGTGAAGAAAATCTTTGATGCTTTCAGAAACAGAACAGATGTCCAGCGAACATACAGAGAAATCATGTTCCTCCAGGAGTTTGGCGATCACGTCAACATTGTCAAGCTTCTCAACATCATCCAAGCACAAAATGATAAAGACATTTACCTCATCTTTGAATACATGGATACGGACCTGCACGCTTTGATAAAGAAAGGCTCTCTTCTGAAGGATATTCACAAGCGTTACGTCATGTACCAGCTCTTCAAAGCTATCAAATATCTCCATAGGAGTTTGTTTAGCCATTCTAATAACTTGTGGTTGCTGTTGTATACCTTGTATTTGCTCATTGTCCACACGTCTGATCTCGATTGCCCTCACTCCTGAATGCCTGGCAGAAACCTATGCCCTGTTACATAACAATGTCAATCCTGATTCCAATAAGTGTAACCCACCCACCCACTTTACTGTTTTTGTCCTGACCAACAAGAAAACAACCATTATGTAAATATTTTGTTTTATTATGTTTTTGCTTTTCACAATTTTGTCATTTTATTTTTATGATTTATTTTACTTTTCGCTTGCTCTCATTACAGGGGTCTGTCCCCCACAAAAACAGCCTTAGCAGATTTCTAACTGATGTTTATGATAGCCATATGTTAAACCATACTGTGTATGCCACATGTGCCTTGATGTTCCTTTTATCAGTGTCTGATCTTCTGTCTGTAAATACTTGTTTTATTGTAGTTGTTCCTGAAGGAACAAAAGGGAGGAATTGTTGATATTTTCTGGGTTGTTAATATAAAAGTTTGATATGTTTACACAATTTACAGTTTACTTTAAAATTATAATTTAAGTGTTTGCCTGCAGTTTTAGCTGAGTCTCAGAAAGGATCAGTACTTTGTGGAAATGAAAACATTGATTTGCTCATCAAGTTTATCATCACTCTTATTAGTCATTTACTTTATATCACACTCTGTTAAAGCTTATCTAAAACTGTAACAGCTAAACCCTTTCAGCATCATTGTGTGAAACCTTTTAACTTCCAGTTCTCAAACCCAGCTCCAGAACCAGTCACTGACCACAAACGTACTGTCTGTTTTTTTATCTGATAAGATTGCAAATGAGGTAACACCTGTTGTGTCAAAGCAAGATCTGTTACGTGTGAAGATGTATAAATGAGACTGTTTTGCTCATGATTTAACACGTTTTAACACGTGATGTCTCTGTTTCTAATTTGAAAATCGGTGACAATGTTTTTTCAGATCACATGCCTGTATTGTTTGACTTCACCCCCCCTTGTCATACTGCTAAGACGTGCGTTCCTGCACGTACGCGTTCCATTAACCATTTCACTGCTGCTCGTTTTAATGAAGGTTTTAATTCTGAGAGGATCGAACAGCTCTCGGTGTCTCTTACCACTGAGGAGCTAACCTCTCAGTTCAACTCTGCCTGTTTAAATATTCTGGACCGTGTTGCTCCCCTTAAGACCAGAAAAACGAAACTTAGATCAGAGCCTTGGCTGAATGACGTCACGCGAGCCGTTAGGAGGCAGTGTCGCAAAGCTGAACGAAAGTGGAGGAAGGACAGGCTCCAGGTGTCTTTTCAAATGTTAAGGGAGAGTTGGCGTCACTATCAGAAAACCGTTAAAGCTGCCAAATGTAAATTCTTTTCTGATTTAATTGTCTCCAATTCCCACAACCCCCGAGTTCTTTTCTCCACCCTGAACTCAGTTCTACACCTCAGTGAGCCTTCACCTCTGGAAGCCTCAACTGAGCTGTGTGAGAACTTCCTCCATTTCTTTTTAGAAAAAGTGGCAAACACCCGGGCACTCATTTCTCCACCAGCTCATGATCTGTCCATCCCTTCTCAGTGTGTGGCTGTGTTTGACCACTTTGAGCCCATCTCTCTGTCCTCTCTGGAGCAGGTAATGTGCAGCATGAAGCCATCTGGTTCCCCCTTTGATGTGGTCCCCCCTCGACTACTAAAGGAAGTTTTTCCTACCCTGGGTCCTTTTATCCTCACTATTCTGAATAGCAGTTTATCCTCAGGTGTGGTGCCAAAGACTTTTAAACATGCTGCTGTCCAGCCCCTCCTGAAAAAACCTAACCTTGACCCCTCAGTCATGTCCAACTTCCGGCCTGTCTCCAGACTCCCATTCACCTCTAAACTACTGGAAAAAATTGTGGAGTCTCAGTTGAAACAGTTTTTGGGGGATCACGCTATCCTTGAGTTATTCCAATCTGGCTTCAAATCTCTCCATAGCACTGAAACTGCTCTACTGAAGGTTTTTAATGACATTTTCATATCCACAGACGCAGGTGATTCTGTGCTGCTTGTCCTATTGGACCTTACATCTGCTTTTGACACCATCGACCACAATATCCTCATTTCTAGACTGGAGCAGTGGGTGGGCATCACAGGGTCA